TAAATTATGAAAAAAAAATGCAGTAGAAATATTTATTATAGTTATGTATAGGTATTTTTAAACAAAAATTCTAAAAAAAATAAACTTAACTTAATATTTATGAACAATTATCATTCAAAATAATTCACCAATTGGCGATTAAAATTTAATTGGTATAACTTAAGTCTTACATCACTACAATAACTTTTTGAAAATATTATATTATATGTTCTTTTTATTTATTTAATTGATTATATAGATCAAAGCGTATATTATAATGAATATATTTAACATACTTTCTACTTTACACATAACCATACTAAAATAATCATTTATCAAATTTCTAAGTTATTAGGTATATTAATTTAAAAGCAATCCAGTTTTCAAATTTAAAGTTGGGCCATCGTGTAATCGAATTAATTGCTTAATTAACCATTGGTAATACAATTATTATTGGAAAGGGATTGCACATTGTTCGAGTAATAGAAAACAATATTATACCCTCACCGCCTTTATTTATGAAGGAGTCCAAACAAAACTCGTATATACAATTCGTGTATATGGGAATCAAACACGCGATTAAGTCGATTAAGTTGTGAAACGATTAATGAAATAATTTTCTCCCCCAGTTATTAGTCACCCCCACGAATTAACTGACCCTCTTCAGGGATATCCTACAGTTGGCGATTCGAAACGACACGAATTTGACAAACGGCTGATAATTGGAAACGACACGAGAGTGTGTGGTATATAATCCTCTTTTAAAGCCGGATCATATTATCGACAAAAACGTCTGTATTATTGAACACTGTAGAAAGCAATTCAACTCCCTTCCCTTCCTTACCAAGTAAAAATAAATGTATTTCTAGTAGTTTTGTGGTATGTCAAATTTAGTTTTTCAAATGTAACATCCAATTTATACAATAGGTATACAAATATACATTTTCAAATAATATTTATTTTTTTCTTTTGAAATCATATCAACCACAACAAAACGTTCATGTATAAATGTTAAATATAATTTTAAACGATATTAACTAAGCTTAGTTTATATTAAATATAAAATTGATTTTATACTATTTTTTTTATACATCAATGATCTCAATCATAACTCACGGCGTTTTACTGCTTTCTTATTTATGGTAAAGAATTTAAGAAATATTCAAAATTAATGCATTATAGTATTATACTGTAAAATAGTGTAAACATTTTTACTATAAAAATTAAGTGATATTAATTTTTATAATATTAATTTTTACATTTATTGGTTTTATTAAATTAATACTCCTTACACCAGAATTTTTTTTTAATTTCACAACAATAATAAATTGTTTTTGTGTTATAGTCATCATAATGATTAGTTTTTATAAAGGAGATCAATTTTGAAATATTGAATTTTAAATTTCTACTCAAATAAAATTATATGTTTACAATCTGATGTGTAATAAATATACATATTTATTTATATAGGTACATATAAAAAATTTTGCGTGCGTGAGCTGGCTGCTACCGGATTAAATAAAGGAATTTATTCAAGGTACTATACGATTAATAGATCAGAAATTGCCGAGAGCGATTTAGTATAATATGTTTATCAATTATAGGTACATGCCAAATTAATACGTAACTAAAAAACAGTTGAATGTCTATCTAAAATTAAAACTGTATAAACATAGTATATATATTAAATGATGTCGATTCTTCATAAAAATTTTATTCTGAACTACAGCATTAATCATTATTAGAAAGTCTATAAAACACAATAATGTAGTTTACAGATAATTAATAAGTGAAGAATTAAAAATTAAATTTGTGAGTAAAAAAAAAAAAAAATATATATTTGAAATAATATTGATTTAATAGCATCATAAAATCTAAAAATATACAATGAATGTTTAAATTAATATTTAAAGTCTTATGTTTGAATTTCTTTATAAAATCAGAAAAATTGTTAAATAGCAATTTTTATAAAATCAAACTATATGTATTGAACAATTAATTTCAGTAAAAATATTTTTCTATTTAAGATTTTAATTAGGTTACGTAGATATTTAAAATTAATAAGCAATATATAAATAATTTAAAAATGAAGCATTTCTAATTTCATTAAATTCCTTTTTTTATTATTTAGCTGAAAAATCATACTTGTAATATCTTAAAATAATTTTTATTTTTACAATTATTTAACAATGGCTACTATAATTTTTCACAAAAAAATCACACGGCAAATGAACACATAGTTTTGATTTCGAGTGCGATTATTAATAGTTGTATATTATATATTTATGTCCCACCGAAACAGCCAAAAAACGACAGTCACGATTTTCAAAAATATAAAACATTAGACACTATTATTACTATCATCATCGATGCAATTACCAAACGTTGAAGTAGCCTACTGTACGATGGATGGATGACGAAGTATATGAAGGTGTCGAACGGTATTACCCCGTGAGCGATTGTCTGCCATTTATACGACCAGCCGAATCAAAAAACCGTTTGTGGTCAGTTAATCGGACGCGATTATTCATTGTCTATAATAATTGGGAAAAGCAAATAAATGTGATCGGTTTTCGAGGCGGACAAAGAGGAAAAAATACAAAGAGTAAAAGAGAGGGAGATGAAAAAATAAGGAATGAAAAATATATACATATATATATATATTATAATAATGACGAAAGATTCCCATGTACGGATAGCCTATCAATCAGCACATCTAAACCGTAATTAACATCAGGTAGGGCGTGTAATTTTTTTACTATTTTTCTCTCATACCTACTATATCTAATATCTGTGTTTCGTTTTATATACATATTATATCGCCTTTCTTCTTTATTTCTGATCAATCCGGAACAATATTTTATATACGACTTTACTCCGGTGGGCGTAACGTAGTCAATCAGTCAATACGGAAAACAACATTTATTCAGAACAAAGGATCGAGTAATCCTTATTGGCTAAAAGGAATCTTAATAGAAAACATTACTATACTATATGGTAATATACATTATTATATGGTAACCAAAATCGTTTTACAAGCATAAACGTGTATCTGGATTTCAAACATGCCCATCCCAATTATTTAATTTTTGATTGATTAATAACGCGCTAGGTATGCGTCATGCTTGAGTTAAAAAAAATTAAATCTGATCAATCTTATTTTCAATATTATAAAATATTGTAAATTTAAAGGTCAAACAACAAGTTTATAGTCCCGAGAAATATATACGAGTAAGACTATTTATTAAATAGATATTATTTATAAAATTATCAACAACAAAAAATATTTTTTGTAAAACCAAATTTAAATCATAGCATATTATATTAAACATCACTTCAAATATTAAGTCAGTTACTATATTCATTTTATGTATAATATATTTTATACTGGTGAACAATTTCAAATTTTCGAAAATAGGTAGGTAATAGTAAGTTGACATTATATTGATATAATAATGCTTTTAATACTATTCACTGTACCTATCCCTATACTATATATCTATATGTTCTTTTAAATCAATAGATTTCAATTTTTAAAGAATAAAACTTAATAATTAAATCTTTGAATTTTGATAGTAATCATCAGTTATGGATTTTTCACGAAACACATATATAATTATAAAATATACTCTCACTATAGGTGCTATGACGAGCGAGTTAAATACAAAGTTGAATTCGTCTGAGTATACACAGCTACATAGTTATAGAAAAAAAAAAGCTAAATAATTTTTTTCTTCACTTCTTATCTTTTTTCGTTACCCTATACAATATTACACGACATTGAGGAAGAGTTCTGGTTGTATCGTTTTATCACACCACATACCTATATAGTACACAGTATCTATCTATATATAAGCCGCAATTATTATAATTATTATTATGTTAACGCGTCAAATTAATGTGTGTTTTATAATTGCATAGATATATTTTCATCGAGTCTTCTATTTAATTTTTATTCTTTCAACGTCACAGCCTCCTTGTGCGCCCATATTGATGTACTATCCGTCACAAAGTCAGGTCATCTCGAGTTGGTATTATAGACAGTCGCATATGTCGCGCGATGAGAACTCGCAACAGTCCTGCATGGACCGGTCGTCGACGACGTGACTAGATAATACGGCGGCAGGTGTGTGGTTCTTATATAATATCGTATTATGCATATACCTATAACCTACCGTTGTCGCGTCGTCGTGAATATGACAAATCGGTTGACATGCGATCGAAATCCGTCTCTCACGGCATAAAATATTCTCACCCAGTAGTGGTATTGTCCACCGGCCGCCGTCGCCGCTCTTATTAATTTTGCCGTCTCTTGTGACCAATTCAACAGGTGTGCGTATGTATTTGTCTTTCATTCATTTCCCTTTTTTTTTCTCTCATCGTCTTTTTCGACTATTTGTTTCATTATACGTATCCCATACACATACATATCATAATAAACTGATTGTGCTCTTTTGTGTATGACCTAGTGTCGTCGACCTCCATGAGAAAGGACACTCGCGCATCAACCAGCGACAATGCAGTTGACGCGTATTCGATGAGAATTATATTAAGTACGTGTAATAAAAGATATTTATCCTTCCCCACTTAAGTAAAACTGTATCAATATAGTCCGTGTGAAATCATCATGAGTTGTTTTTAATTTGCATATTTTTGTTTTTAATTCTAATAAAATAAAATTAGCTTCATGGTTGCGTTTATTATTTATCGGACACCTACGCGTGTTCATCAAAGGTTGAAATCATGTTATAAACTTTTTATTGTAACAAAAAAAAAAAAAATGGTGATTTAAAATAGGTGTTTTACTCGTATTTTAAAGATTATATAACATAGATAAAAAATATGGCTTTTAAATATTATATCAAATTTAAAACAAAAAAGTGTAACGCAGACATTAAAATAGTCCGATAAGTATAGTATTCTATTTTTAAATTTACCCTTATCTATGCAAAAATAAAATTTAATATGCACCTAAAATGTTTTTTTTAATTCAAATTATGTTAGAATTTTTGAGTTCATACCTGTCTAAACTGTTCTTCAAAAGTCCACGATTGTGCTTCACCCTTTCTAGCTAACAGAGATGACTCGTTTTCTGATGTGTATTCGTGACCAAGAGGTGTATCACCTGATCGACTAGATCCTGGTGGTGATTCTATGTTGCCCGGTCGTCTAGAAGGTATTGGCATGACGATTTGATCGGATATAGGCATCCCATTAGGATGATGGTAAACCAAATGTTGTATCATAGATGCAGTGTGACCTCCCATCAGTCCATGTGACCCACTTGCCAAACGACGAGCTAACTGATTAAGGGTTTCACGTTCTTCCCTCTGAAAACAAGACATGTATATTAATAAAATATATTTGTTGCTCATAGGTATATAATATAAAGATATAAAGATATAAAGATATAAATAAAACAAACAGTCTAAAATCAATTGGGGTTGTTCAATTCAGGACTTATAGATTACGTCTAATAAATCATAATTTTAAACTTTCTAAAAATTTTAATTCCTAAATATAGGTATTGTTAAATAAACTATACAAGTACAATAGGAAACTAATTAATGAAATTATACCTGCATTTCCAGGATATCCGGTTCTTCTTCCGGCGAACAATCGTCATCCACTCTTCTACGGTCATCCTCGTCCTCATCATCAGTACCCTTAGGTGATTGAATCCAATGATATGATTGAGGTTGCACACTCAAATTCAAGTTTAAGCCAAGTCTTGCGCTATCTGTGGCATCCATTGTCATTTTCATACAGTCAATTGGCAAATCGGTACTTAACTAAATAACAATCAGTATAAAATTATAAAAACATTTTTAACAAACGTATAATATAGGTAATAATAAAACTAATATTATATCATTCAATATATTATGAGAAACTAAAAATAATCCAACCACCGCAAGTCAATCAGTATAATATTAACCTCTACTTAGAACACATTAAGGTATTCCATTAAATCGTTAGATGCTTCATTTTTGTTCTATAAATTTTATTATAGCTATTAGTTATTTCAGTATTAATTGATATGTTTATACCTCCAATTTTAATGTTAAAATGGAAAATTAGGTAACAAATATAATTTATATTCAACGTTTAAGACTTCTACGAATATAAATATTTCACATATTATATATTTTGTTTATAAACATAAGAAATATACAGTGAACAAAATACCTAATAGCATTGATTTTAGAATATATTCTAAATTCAATGACATTAATGACAAATAAAATTATCAAAATATTACTTTGAAATTATTTAGCATAAAATTTAATTTTTTAATATATTATTGTTTCTATAATAATTTAATAGAATGGGTCTAATCATAAATTATTGTAAACATTTTTCGAATCTATCAGAAGTATCAAAACAAAAAAAATTTAAAAAAAAATAAGGTGATTGATAATGAAGTTTAAGTAAATTAATAATAAAAAAAAATCACTTTTGTCTCTCAACAGACACAAAAAAATAAATATCAAGCACGTGTTTCATTAAAACTACATTAGTCCAATTGGCGCTCAGCCACACGTCATTTGGTCTTACACTGGTTTTGACATACACTAGCACGACGTCGAAGTGATTTAGTTTTTAAATGTTACTTAATAGATTAATTAACAATACAGTTTTAATCAATTCATGATAATTTAATCTGATAATTAAAGGTTGAATTAGTAATAATAATAATAATAATAATAATAATAATAATAGAGTATTAGAAATACAATAAACATAAAATCCTTAATTAATATTAAATTAGACATGAATTGTTTAGTATGATTAAACAATATAATAGGTTTTAAGCAAAATGTCATATTTAAATAGGTACCTACATAATAACAACTAAAAAACTGTATACACTAGTTATACGTTTTAATTGTTACTTATTAATTATAAATTTTTAATGTTAACTTTTAAAATACAGCTGCAATCATGATTATCCCGGAAGTTTAAACTAAAATTATTTAATTACCTATAACCAAATAACATCATGCAAATATATAGGTAATTTTATATATTATTGTTATTACGAACACAAAACAGTATAAGTAATTAAATACTCTATAGTATTAAAAAATATTTATTTTTTTCTTAATAACTTTTTCTAATATAATATATTTTTGTAAATACCTTAAGTAACTATAATTCAAAACTTAATGTAAGTGCTTATACCTTATAATATATTCTAAACTTGTAATCTTTAGAAATAATATAAATCAGTTAACATAACAAGTAACATAACATAATTAATATTTATACTTATAAAGGAAAAAAACTAAAAAGTTTTGTGTTTATATATTTTGTTTTATTATACTCAGTATATTTTATTAAGCTAAGTAATCTTTTTTGTTACCATGTGTGATTTTATATGTATATGTACAATTGACAACGAATTGCATTCATATAATATTAAGTACATTTACAAAATATATAACCTGATGGCTGATTGATATCATGAAAACATAACTATTGTTGTGTTAGGTATCGTAATAGATGTTTCAAACACACGTTTATTATTTAACAAATTTGATCGTAAAAAGAAAATCACCTCAATGAATATATATGTAAGATGACGGTGTCAAGTGATTTAACATGCATTTAAAGAAATACGTTTGTAAAAGCAATAAATTCATTAGTTACTACCAATGTGGTCGACCGGAAATACGGTGAACGTTATTGTTTGATGTAAAGACACGTGACTCTTATTATTTCTTCATTCCTCCGGGTAGTGATAGTGATATGTGTGACAGGTATTATGCACGGTCGTTGGACGTTATTTTATTAATGATAAGAACGTGCTAGAAGAAATCGCGAAAGTCTATATAGATATACATATTACATATATAAATGTCAAGGGTGTCTGTAAACTATAAGGATAATATTTCTCAAAGGAGCAGACTCGGGTTAAACGATACAACGGTATCGCCCAACACTTGCATATATTATGCGTGGTATTGGTAAATATTTTGGACTCGATCAATGAGTAAAATATATATTGCTCGTTATAATCATATAAACGTATACCTTTAACAGCTACATTACCATTTTTTAATGTAGATAGTTACATAAATCCTTTATAGAAATTCCTAATGATAAATGATATGTAGATACATTATACAAATATTAATCAGGTGCAGGTTATAATGTTATATTTTCTTATAATTTTGGGAATAATTATGTTAGCAAATGATGGAATCGAACACCTATTTTGCGTTTTTTGGAATTATTAAAAATATTTTTAATATCCACGATATCTATTTTATTCAGTTTTAAACAACAATAATAAATCAAGTACGAAATTTACCATTAAAAATCCCGCATTCGCAAATTCCTTAAAAAGACTTTTAATTCCATTCACTGATATTATGAGCCAAAGTATTCTTGAAGTTTGTAACAAACAAGAAATGGTCTGTACCTATATGATTTAACATTATGTTACAAAGTACAATAACTAAGAAGTCTTGGGTTTTTTTTGTTTGTTTGCTTTTTACTTCCATCCTTGTGCGAAGACGCTAGGTCTGCAGCACGCCATCATAGCAGCAGATGATTCGTTTAAAGTGCGCCTACTAATGATATAGGTGTGCTGTCATTATAAGTTCATTAATTACAGTGATAGATTCCCGTTTGCTACAGTTTAAAACAGTTTTTATTTTCGGTCGCCGCTGGTTGTTAAATAAATTCCAACTACATCATTAATATCATCGCAAGACTACTAACGTCACCCTTTGCATGCTTTCCGCCATCCCTTGAAGCCTACCCTTGCGCACCCTGCTATCCACGACCTAAACGGAAAACAAGATTAGTGAACATCCGAATGACGTGTGTTATTTTGTGTTTTTTCTCCTCTTTTTTTCTCCCTCCTTCCCCACGAAAATTTTCGCATTCCGATACAGATGCCCATCAATTTCAACTGTTATTACTATTCCATCGTAATATCGGGTACACAAGTAAACATCGTAGGTCGATGCGACGGTCGTTTATCAAATCCAAACAAAATGACGAAATAAACGTCTAAGAAAAACTAAAGTTTGTGGTTAAGAGAAAAATTAGTTAGGTACTAATAAAATGCGATTTTACAATGTGAACTATTACTATATTAGCATATTATAAATTTCCAATGAAATTATGAAATTATCGATTTAGGACATTAAATAGATTTTAAATATTGTAGCTATGTTACAATCCTTTGTAGTCTAAATGATTTTTGAAATACGAGTGTATTTTAATTATTTATCTGAAAATTTATTTAGATATACTTTAAAGGCACTTTAATATTATTACTTTATTTAATATTTTTTTATTAATTTTATAATACTGAATATTACCAATTCCCTTGTTTACTATATATTTTATACACACTTTTAACTTTAATAAACTCTTCGTATTCTAAAATGTAAATATTTTCAATAATATTTAGTAATATCGAATAAAAATTAAATATAACGCATATTTTATGTGATAAATATTTTTTTCAAATGTTCACACATCCATTTTCCTACTTATATAATTTTAAATTACCTCTACACTAAGGTCTTTAGCTGATAACTTGTTTTTAATTACTATATTTCACATTTAATATTCTACACTCTTATTATTTGGATTTCCATTTAACTTAAGTATTTTTATGACGTTACAATTGTTTTTTTAAATATTTTATCTTATTATTTTAATGAATAATAATACCTTTATATATCTATTAAAATAATAAATCTTTGCTTATTAAATATAGATTCCAAGATGTGCAGTACACTTTTCATTATCGATCATTTTTCATTTTTTTTTTTTTTTTTGTTTATACTTTTAATTTAATATATTTTAATAACAGAAATTGTAAATTATTTGATATTCCATAATATAGTATATTATTACTAATATAGAACATATTTTATTGGGTTTTCCAAAAATAATTATTTCTGCTAGCTATATATACACACGTAATATATTTACAATGGTAAATTTTTATTTCATAAAAATTTATTACTTAGATATTATTATTCTGATGTATTCGTTATAATCAAAAAGTGTCATTTACATACATGTGGGTAGTTAATTCAAAATATCGGCACAGTGGGCGCCATATATTTAATCAAAACCTGAAACGTATATTTTGATCTCAGATTAATTATATAGTATGATAATACTTTTTACATTAAATCTAACCACGCAAAATTATTTTGAATGTCATTAATAAGTAATAACTAATTATGTAAAAGAGAAACGGTAGGTGTTGAAAACACAAAAATATTGATGCACAATATGTAATTATTACAAAATACAAACCAATAAATTGTTATTTTATAATATTTCTTAATATACTTATTGAAATATATTAATATAAGTCTAAATATAAATATTGAGAATGATAATTTATATTCAAGACATTATGTATCGTAGTATCGTATTGTTGTAGACTATAATATTAAATAATTTTTAAAAGCAACGAGTAGATATCAATATGATTGTGTCTATAACACTATTAACTGTCAAATTTTAATTTATATCTGATCAGATTAAGTTCACTGTTTAAATATTCTAAATATTAACAAATAAGATATCTATAAAGGTTATAATATAGTTTAATAAAATAAACATTACTAAAAATATAAACTATAATAGTTATATTCATTTATATATTATATGAATTGATTCGATTAATAAAAAAAAAAAACTAAAATATACCTACCTATATCTACCTGTGTATACCCGTACAGTTCTACACCATACTCTGAATAACCCATTATGAATCGTCCGGTTTAGTTGTTTGCATGCATGTTTTGTT